TCGCGCAGCACTTTGAACCCGCCGCCAGCTCTCCGAGACCCACTGACGTTGGTGCACCTGGTAGATCGAGAGCAATGCGGCCGTGAGCGGCGGCCGCACCGACACGTCCCCGGTAAACTCAGAGTAATACAGAGCCGCGACAGGGTCTAAAGGCGGCGGCGCCGACCTCGGGAGACGGATAGGGCCCGCAGCAAGCGGAGGCATGGCAGGGAGAGGATTACCAGGAAAGACCTGCGGTGATCATAGAGCCGAGGCGTAGGACGCACTAAGCTGACGGACGTCCATCGAAAACAGACAAAACGTACCAGCGGCAGGTGTAACGGCGGGACGATGAGATCGTCACGCACAGGCGTAACGGTAACGAATCGATGAGTAGACGAAGTAAGTGGGTCTTGGCCCCACGGTAAGCCGCCAGGTACGAGAGGAAACATAATGCTAACGGGTACTCGCGATAACACGATTACTCGATTCAGGAACACGGAAAATTATTACAATAAAACGGGGCGCGATCGCGCTTCCAAAAAATTTGGATATCACCGAAAAGGGCCTAAATTCGTTCGTGCGTGGTGCGTGGGGCTCGCTTAGGCGGAGAGCGTTACAAAGGTTGTAAGTGAGCCCTTCGTATCATACGGATGCTCGCCCCAACTAATCCGGCCCTTACGGTGGCGGGCTCTTTGACTTCAGAAATGAGTCAACGCTGTCCTTTTTGTCGTCGGTCCTCGCGACTCTTAAGACGCTGCCGTGGATGTCGAAGATTAGGGAAAAAGCGCCAGCCGGCGCTTATTTCTCGATGTTTGAAATCATTAAATATGTCATGCCCCGCACTTGAGGCGCTGTGCACAATCCTGGTCACGGGATTATTATTGTGTGCTTAGCTACCTTTCCATTTTCCCATCACTCCGGTGTTTAGCAGCCCATTGTTCGCCGCTGTCCGCACGGGGGTTACATAGCTCCGCACTAACCCTAAAACCCTAAACCTCCACCCCCACCCCCTAAAAAACCCCAACCCCAACCCCCCACAACACCGCAGCCACCACCCCTGGCAGCAATGACATGGTAAAAAACGAAAGTCCGTGTGTGCGGGACCTACGCTCGGGGGGGATGCCAGGGGGGAAATGACGGCCAGATACACGGCTTGGGGTGCGAAGGGGGGACATCATTCGGAGCCATCTCCAAGACTTAAAGTCTCAAAGACTCCATAAAGCCCGTTGGGCCCTTCCCAGCTGCCCTAGCCCCGGTGGGACCGCTCTCCCTACCGGGGGGTGGGAGGGGGTAGGGAGGCGCCGCACGCTCTCACGAGTCAAGGCTCCTTTAGGAAGCCCAGCCATGCATTAACTCATTTTTTTCACTAACTTTTTCACTGCGCTTTCAATGTAATGGTAAACTGGTGAAACATTTTTAGGAGGTATAGATGGAGACACACACACACACACAAAAAATGTGTTTTGCCTAATTAGGGTTATGTCGCTGTTTAGGCGAAAACAAACATCAGGCAAACATCGTCATCAAAACACTTTATTGCAAACAAATCCACACCAATTCATCCATTCGCCCCAATTTGAGACGTGGTGTTGCAAAACGTTCCCCCTTCCAACGCACATCCATCTACCCATATCCATCTACACAAGACAAAACTCAGAGTAGAGCTCTGGACTCCTCCTAACACAAAAAAAAATTCCCACCAAACCAAACACCTCAACGGAGGAAACGACAACCAGCGCGTCCTACTCCAGCAGCCCCGCTCCGTTACGAACGACATAACCCGTCGTACAACTCTTCCCCCACCCCTTACCTCCCAAGCCGCAAATGACGATCCCGCTTCACGCCGATACCGACCCCCATCCCGCCCCACCTTCCCCACGACACGGCAGCGAGAGTGTATCCCCTAGCTTCCCTCCTACAGAGGATGATGCGCCGATGCGGCGGATTTCTGAAGAAATCGTACGTGGTTGCTGAAAACTAGTGTGGGGGATGGCGCCCGCGCGCCACGATCGTGCCAGGATGCCAAAAAAACCCTGGCATTCGCTTCCCCCGCTTCCTTCCCCCCCAACGTCCCCCACTCCCCCTTCCTTTCCTTACCCTCCTCGCGTGCAGCCCTCTCCTCAACCCACTCGTTACACCTTCCGCCGCCGACGACAGACAGACAGACAGACGGGCTCTCCCCGCGGCATCCAATACACACACGTACACCCCCACAACCCCAGTACCCACTATGCCGCTCAATTCGTATCCGAGTAGAAGTATTCCAATCCGCTCCACCAAGCCTCCCCCTCCCAAACCCCAACGCCGCTTTACATCGACACAACAACCAACATCCAGTCATCCCTCCACACCCCCAACCCCACCACCTACCCCCCCCCGGGGGGCCACCCTGGAGGGCGATCAGCAGCAAACTACCCGCCCTGTGTGTCGCGTCGAGATTAGTCGCCGCCAACCGCCATCGTGTAGTCGTACCTGCGGTGAGTGAGGCGGGGGGGGGGAGGTCATGCATATGGTTGCATGTGGTTTGTACGGCAGGTGGGATCTACAGGCCGAGAGCAAAACGCGCACGTGCTCTGGCCCGAGACCCGCCAAGGGGTTGCGTCACGGGCGCTCTCCCCCTTTGCCGACATCATCATGCACTCAATACACATACACATACACGCACGCATACACATCCCGGCAACCATATGCACGCATACGTACTCTGGCGGAGGAGGGGTTCCCCGATGTCACGTAAAAACCCAGAAACACACAACATACCACATGTTGTATCCCCCGGTCCCCACCCCCGGAAACACACACACACACACATGCTTTCCCCTCCACACACACAACGCCCGGGCCCCCTCCCACCCGCCCTCCTTCACACTGACACAGTCACTTACTGAATGGTCGGTACGACGGACGCGATGAACTTTAGAAAGAGCACAAGATATCTGCATCGGGGGGGGGGCGAGGATGGTGGTGTGTGTGTGTGTGTGTTGCAAAACCATGCGCACGGGGAGGGGTCCAAAGAACAGGCGA